CTCCACCCTTTCCGGGGTGATAGCACCTGTTAGGTCAAGCTTTTGGATAAATAATGAACTTCAAACAAAAACGTGAACATACCAACGATATATATATATATATATATATATATATATATATATATAAAAAAAAAAAAGAAGAACAGTAAGATATATAGTCCGGTGTTTATTTTAGGTATTTTTATTTTTACAAACATAATGCTCGATGTAAATTTACAGAGCATTAATATTATTTAATTAAAAATTTTAAATTTTAAAATGTTTTTTCGCTACACAGTTTTTACCATGTTTCAAAAAAAAATGAATTTTAAAAACCAGGAATTTAATTTTTTTTTAAATTAAATTTCATTAGTTCCATTTTTTCCTCAAGCGAATTTTGAAATTTTTTTAAAATTACTGGGTTTTTAACTTATTTTGCTAAAATCACGTTTCCATGGTTACAGATAAACCTAATTCAACTGGACAAGGGGTGTTGGGTTTTTGCTTATGTCTGCAGATTTTTATATTCTGTAAGGCTATATATATATATATATATATAATTTAGATTTCAAATATTATAGTAGAATTACAAAGAAATACATTTTATAGCAAAATGGCCAACCATACATTTTTTCTGTAGCTGAAGGCATACAATTGCGATCAAAAAATATTTAGTTGAAGTCATATAATTGTATTCCTTATATTTAAATTTCGACATTAAATAAACCATAGAGGTGTTGATATGCCTCTAAAAACAACCAGAAAAATCCATATCACGTTGAAACACTCAATACTTGGAAGATCACCGAAGTTAAGTAACGTCGGGCTTTGTCAGTACTTAGATGAGTAACCGCTTAGGAATACCAGGTTTTGTAAACTTCGATATATTGGTGGTATAATGGTTAATGGTTCGGGATTCTAATATGAAGAGCAGAGTTCCAATTCCAGTTGGGTCCGATATATTCACTTACGCGTAAAATACCCCGACAAAATTATGAAACCACATCTTCTCCCTTAGCTATGGCTTAATTAGTAAAACTTGTATCACTAATCCATTGTTATCTCCAAAAATAAAAAAAAATAAAATTTCGTACAAGATATATAGATCTCAGCATTAAATAACCCATAGATATGTTGATATGCTGCTAAAACACCAACCAACCAGCATTAATGTCTTCTGCCAATGTTCTTAATATTCTGCCTTTATTCTTTCATAAAATTCTTCTTCCAAAAGATGTCTTTTCATTTTCAATTTAACTTTTCTTGTGTAAAAAAACTTTTTAATTTTTTTTTTCATTAGTTTGGTTCAGAATTTTCAACAACTATTTTGAAGACCCCGCGGGCCTGCAAGTCCAGTAGTAATCACATCCCTTTGTTTAATTTAACCACCAACAATATTTGCGCGAGGACAGGTCGTAAGATCTTTCAACGATCAAAATATTTCTGAAAACATCAGATTCAAATAAAAACTAGTCATAACTGTATTATACTTTGTCTTGACACAATTCTAGTACTGTTATCCCTCGTATAATAACGTCAGAGAGGAAAAAGGAATTGTCCTCTGTGGAGACAGTCTATGCTTTAGCCTTGGAATCCGATGAGGGCAGAGACGGCACGAATGCAGTATTGCGTGACGTTTTTAACACAGGCTAATATTTTAATCCTCGTGCCATTTTTTAAAATTACCCCCCACCAATAACGCAATGGTGAAAAATAACCGTCTCCATTCAGTAAACATTCGACATTCTTTGACTAATCAGTTAGCGTTACTGTCGTTTTAAATTCAATTAGATTTTAATCATTTCGCCTTAAGTAAGGCAAAAAGTCAATAAGATGCAAAGGGGTCATTGAGAGTGTAACGATATGAGTAAAATTTACTTTTTTTTGCTTTCAAAGTTTATTGGAATGTGGGAGGCCGGAAAAACAAAATCAAAGGGAAAAGTATCAGAGGAAAAAAGATTAGCATAAACTTACGGTTATAAATCAGGCATTTTAACTTTGCCTGATAATGGAACCAAGTTGCCAATTTCGTACTGATCAAAAATCAGAACTTTTAAAAAAGTACACGAAATCATCGTAACAATTACCGCGAAAAGTTAAAACGTAAAAATAAGACACGTTAAGATGGTATACAACGACTAAAGTAACAAATGCCAGATCAAACTCAATAATTTAAAAATTCGTCTTTGTATTTAATCAGAAGCACGATAACAGATGTGACTACAATATTCAATACATGGATAAATGTCAGACTTATATGTAAGATAGATTTTGGCGAGACAAAAATGTAACGTGACACAGGCTTTCTTACCTGATAAAATTTTTAGTAATAACGATTAACACATTGGCGGTTGACCTAGAAAAAAATGAGTAAAAAACTGTTTATCGGAAAGAAAAAGTCTAAAATATTTAATCAATTAACACATTTAGATCATCTAATGCTTTCTAGTCCAAAACTGTCGTGAAAGATCACCAGGACGATAATTCGAGGAATCAGAAGATCCACCAGAATGGGAATAGATCTTTATTTAATTGATTATTTCATTAGAGAATAGATCAATATAGCTAATTCTAAGTATTTCCACATCCATTCCTTAGCTTAGATACATCTATTTCAACGTGTCAACTGTTTCTGGTACATATCTATCTATCTATTGTCTATCAGTTCATCCTCTCTCTCTCTCTCTCTAGCTATATATATATATATATATATATATATATATATATATATATATATATATATATATATATATATGTGTGTGTGTGTTTCAAGCCGGTATGGAATCAGATGCACACCCAAATGTTACGGTGACGTAATGCAAAGTCTCAGTTGAAGAATCTGCATTCTGAGTTCGGTTTCCACTCGAATCAATTGCTTCAATTACGTGCTAATACCCTTGGGAAAGGTATGAATCCTCTTCTTCTCCTCACCAGCTATGGGTAAATATCAGGACGTTTCCATGATAATGTGACTGGCAACTTTCATCTCGGTAGTGGAAATGGCTACCTGATGTGTCCCAAAAAATATCTGCCTCGTCAGTCATGTCGAAAGATACATGATCGCCCTGAGGTTTCTTCGAGACTCGAGATACACATATATATATATACATATATATATATATATATATATATATATATTATATATATATATAATGGAAGATCTTAACATTTCCAATATAGACCTTTTATCTGACAGAGTCCTCCAATATGCCTCTGTCACTTTATATTAATCTAAAACTATCCCTCAAAAACTTGTATTAAAAATAAAAGAAACCTCATCCTTTTGTAACTAGAGATGTGACCTGATGAACCAAGAAAAAATTTCTGGAGAAATAGATTATAGTCATGGAACCTTATGGTTGTCTCTTACTTAATTAATATTTGCTCTGTTGTTACATTGGGCTCTCTGGATCACATCCTCTTTATATATATATATATACGGATTATAAACCCTTCACTATATTATATATATATATATATATATATATATATATATATATAGTTAAATTCCCAGATCAATTCTGTGGACAAGATATAGGTTGGTATAAAATTTACAATTGGAAAAAAAAATCTTAGATTTTGCCGACGTGTTTCGTCTTCCGAATTTTCAAAATCCAAAATGAAATCGAAATGTTTTTCATTTGTTATAATTACATTAAAAAAAGAAAATTTAAAAAGATATACACTTCTGTCTTTAGCCTTTTTTCTGGTTAATGTAAATTACCTTTATAGTAAGGCATTTTTTTATTTTTTCACGTTGACAATATAGTTAAATTCCCAAATCAGTTATATATATATATATATATATATATATATATATATTTTATTCTTTCAATATCAAAAGAAAATTTCTCCTCATATTTTGATAGTCATAACATTTGTCTACTATTTATTCTGCCCTTATGTCCTAATAGTGGATATATTGGTGAAATAAATAATTTTAGATTTCCTTAACAATCATAAACAAACTATACGTCATAACAATTTTATTCCCCATTGACTGAACACTTTAATCAATCAGGACATTCATTTCAAAAAAAGTAAATGTTTTCCCACATAGATTCCGATTTCAGTTCCACAAAAGCAAAAAAAAATAAAAAATACTGGATTTTATAATTAAATACATATAAACTAGGGTTAAATAAAGACTTGGGTATTTTAAAACATTTTTTAGATATAGTTAATTTTTTTTTTATTTCTTATTTTATTTTTTTTATTTTTTAAACAACATCTAAGATATTACTTATTACAGTTAGATTTATGTTAGGAATATTCGTTCCATATCACGTATCACGTCCGCATCTCGCGACGGACGCTACTTGTAAACAAAAACAGTTATTTCTGAAGAAAGATTGAGACCAATCTGAAATATCAAATATATATATAAATAATAAAAAACATTATTATTTTTTAATTTGCAACTTTTATATATATATATAAATAAAAGAACAGTAAGAACATTGTTCTTTTTTATTTATTTTTATAACTTTATATATATATATATATATATATATATATCCAGAGAAAAAGTGCATTGATTTTTTTGAGTCTTCCATGGTAAATTTACGTTCTGCTTCAGACAAAATATCACCTTTACTTACTATTATAACGTGGGATATTTAAAAGAACAACATCGATAAATAGGAACGTAGAAAGCTGAATGATAGATTATGTTATGACTCTTAATTAGGAACAATAATTTTAAAGTTAAACTGCCTTGTATTTTCAGCGTTTCTCTTAATGTATAACTATATCAGACGTTCGTTCTACTCCGTTTCCTGCCTTTCTCTACGCAGTAAATACATTAGTCTAATCATCTCCGAAGAATTATTTTCCAAGCTCGGGATTCGCAAAGCTCAGAGGGTTGGATCTTCCTTGGGATTTTGCAATTATAGCCCTGGTTTTGTGGAAGAGAAGCCTTTCTGTCAACCCACACTCATTGCAATAAATGATATGTCCGGAAGACTAAGTTAATAACAGCGTCACATTCTCATTAATCTACGTAAACTTTTTAGTATTTTATGTTTTCAATACGGCGCCGATTACGTGTTATCTCGAGCTTGGCAGTTTCTGATACTTATCTATCTATCTATCTATCTAAGCCATTTTATCTATCTATCTATCTATCTATCTATCTAAGCCATTTTATCTATCTATCTATCTATCTATCTATCTATCTATCTATCTATCTATCTATCTATCTATCTATCTATCTAAGCCATTTTATCTATCTATCTATCTATCTAAGCTATAAAAAGAATACCCGCTCGGCCCGGTGGCTAGGATCAAAGTGTAGTATCTGTGCTTTGTGAGCTGCCGAGCCGGGTGTCTGTCGAACTCTCTGCTTGCAGAGAGGAACCCGGACGAGTCTCCGCCGAAGGGTGGGGTTTCGTTCGGGGAGGTTGACGGAACTAGCCCGCTTGGACGGGTTTAGATGGGTTTTATTTTTTTTAACGAAAATTACAGGCTCAGACATACCCACATTAAAAAGGCCTTGTGCCGCATTCTATTCCTGTGGGTGAATTGATAAATACCATCTAAGCCTTACTATTTATTTATCTCTAGGCCTTTCTATTTATCTATCGATCACAGCCTCTCTGACTACCTATCTATCTATCTAGACCTATCTTCTATCTATCTAAGCTATTTTATCTATCAATCTATCTATCGAAGCAATTCTATCTACCAATCTATCTATCTAAGCCATTCTATTCATTTATCTATCGAAGCAATTCTATCTATCTATCTATCTATCTATCTATCAAATGAAGCCTTCTATCTCTTTATCTATGGAAGCCTTACTATTTATCTATCTCTAAGCCTTTCTACTTATCTATCGAACACAGCCTCTTTGACTATCTATCTATCTATCTCGGCCTATCTAATATCTATCTATGAGATAAATTTTCATCGGCGGGATCCAAAAACGGACCCGAAGAGATACTTTTAGTGTAAAAAGTATATTACATGAAGTCAGAGGACGTAATTGATATTTGGCAGTCAAAGAATTATAAATAAATAAGCCCTTTCGTAACTATTTTGACATTAGCATAAAAAATAAGTCCCAGTGAGACGCACTTTGGCCTTCATTGTATGTATATATATATATATATATATATATATATATGTATGTGGGTGTTGTCAGACCTGAGTAATGAGAGTTCTGTCAAAATACACTGCAGGAAACGAGGAAGAAAATCGCTGAGTGGGTAGCGATAAGTTTTTTTTATATGTTGTGACATTATCTATATATCTATCTATATTTATAAAACAGAAGATTGTGTGCGTGTGTGTGTGTATGCTATTTATGCACTTCCACATTTCTCGACCGATTTCGATGAAATTGTACACACATGTTGCGAATTTACTATGTTGGTTAAGACCAACTTTTCAACCTCAACCTCAGCGCGTTTGGCAGAGAAATTGATAAAACTGAAGGTGGTCAAGATTTTGCAAAAAACCAAGGCAAAGTTACACGCGAATAAAAGTTTTTACTGAATGAGCTGATGTTCTTTGCACTTAATGCAAAACATCAGATCATGTTACGAGGTTTGTGTAGAGTGCTTGATAGTTTTCCTGTGGCACTGGGGGTCATACAAACAATTATAAAACACTGAAAAAATCGTTTTTTTCATTTTACTTAAAATAAAAACTTGAATAACATTTTTTATCCGATTATCTTCAAACATGTAAAAAAATTGCCATCATGCAAGAAATAAGATAGTGTGGTTTTAGTCTTGCTCGCTTCCCCGCATTTCACGGAAAACCACGAAAAACTGTTCAAAAAGTCGTTTTTCGGCCCTAAATTTCTTTCTAAATTTGCCATCTAAATTACATATGACACGCAAATTGTCTTGTATGAATATTTGGTTTAGATTATTTCAGTTAAATGGACGAAGTCTGCGACAAACTAGGTCCCAAATCGGCTTTTGCCATTTAGCCAATATTTTCTTCATATGATCCCATACTAAATTGCAATTCGAACAACCTTTGATGCAAACATTGTTTGAGAAGAATTATTGAAGCGTTGAAAGTGAAAACATTCCTAAGAACCTATTATTAACCCCAGCTTTACAGTAAACGTGCGAAAAAAAGAGTGGGGCGTTCATGCATTTGCACTTGCATTAGAATCAAGATCTGACGCTTCATCCCTGTTTTTGTTTGCTTGTTAGTTTGTGAACAATGCTATACTATTTGAAAGCTATTTCGGCCATAGGAAATTTACTAAATATCTAAAACACTGAAACAATTTAACCTCGAGCA